GCATTCAGAATAGGACATAGCCGCCTAGAATGCGAACTGCACTCGACAGAGCAGTGTAATATCCCAAATTATCCCGTGATTGGTGGAATTCTGAGCCCAGACTACAGAAAGTGTTAGTGCCCTGATGGTTGTGAGCTCAGCCGCGGAGTCGGCCCAATGAGTTTTCACCCTGAGGGCGCCTGAGACACTTGATCGTCACGCAAAACCCTCGAGGCATTATCCAGGTGACTATACGAAAAATAAACCGGAAGGAAGAATGCCCCACAACCACGCGGGAACTACCTCAGTGATCGAGAGCTTCCCGCGTGAAAAGATCCCGCGTGGTTGTGGGGCATTCTGGCGTTCTACCAGTGAGTCTAAATCGCATCCAGTCCAAAATGCTTACCGTACCACTGCTGCTTACTAAGTGGTCGCGAGGAACGTACCGATTCACGGTAAGTGGCCCTCATAATAATTACGAGATGAACTCTGAGGTTTCGAAGTTCCATAGGGTATTTGGGGCGTCTGATCGAGTAGTCATAAATTGCTTCGATCTTTCCAGGCTCTAAAGAAGGCGACTCCGCCGAAACGTCAGCCATCTATGAAGAATCTTATCAACCTCGCTTGGAATTCGAAAATCAACAATTTTTTCCCATTCCCTTCAGCACGTTTGAAGAGTCGATTCGAGGTAGTTGTTTGAAAGCGCCTACACTAGCCCAGCACAGGTATATGTACAATTACAACCACTACGAGCAAGTATCCTTCGTAAAAAATGAAATACATAGTAAGTAAGTTGGGATTTTATAAAAAGCACCCAACTTTGCCTACCAAGAAGTGCCAGGAAAAATCGTATTTTCCTTCGAGAACGCTTGATATGTCTACAACTAATCTGATTTCCAAATCCTTCTTCTCCTTCATGGACCCTTCTTATAGGACGAAGGCTACTAAGCTAGTAAATCCAGCGGGAAATACTTCTTATAGGCACTGTTTAGAAAACTCAGTCCTTTGACATTTCTATGGATCAGTGGCTTCCGATTCAACTTTGTAGAAGCTGCACTATTCACAAGGAACGTCCATGTTGAAAGTTGAAACAGCTAGTCGTGACTTTTGGCCATAGTGTATGGCTGTACTGGACTTTTTGACTTGAGGTAGTCAGCTTTTTGAGTAATCGCAACAACTGTAATCTCGTCTGATTACCCCCTTCCATGTTGTTTTCTCTATGGTGATCTCGTGCTACCTTTATTTTCACTTCTTTATGAGGGCTTCATTTTTTGCGAAGTCAGCGATTTTCCTCGCATTCTTCGCCACCGATGTTTTCTTTCTAGAAGCTTCCACTTTGAAAGTGGAAATGTGTGCCTCAAAATTGTCGTGAGGTGCCCTTGCAATTTTCATTGATAATTTCGACTGCTGTATTCCCATAAAAATACACTTTTATTGAACGTTCCATTTCAAAAGAAACATCGTTAATTATTGCTCATAACAATCGAATTCATAAATAAAGTCTATCTAGATGTACCCCGTATTTTGTGATCCTTTCCCGTATCAGAAGTATGCATTGAGTAAGACAATTAGTAATCCTTTGTACATGGGCTTGAGAGACGAAATCTGAAAAGTCGTCTAATCTGATGAGTCACTATCTCCCCTTTATTCGCATTGGACCTAATTGTGAAGTCAAATGGTTTCGAGCTAAAGTAGAAGAAGACAACAAAATTTTAGGTAACTCAAAAACGGCATAATTTACCTAGAAGAGTGACCACTTAGTTGCTCTAAGCGTTCCAGTACAAACGCAGCACGTCATACCGGTGGCCGTCAGCATGCACGTCATTTCATCCGTTTCGAAATCACTGCAGTCCATCAGATCAATGTGTTCGCAGTGCCCTGAACTGCTTTGTGCTTTTTTGCTGTTGGTCTGTACGATTTTTGTCATGTAGATTGATAGAAAGAGAGAAATCGGAAAAGGACAAGCTAAGCTTTTCCAAGGTAGTCCACTTCTGTACCCGCTTATAGTCCTCATCAAATTCAAAAATCTTTCCTATCAATATAATAGCATCCTTTTCCATGGAATCTGTGCCGCCAGCTAAACCATTCCGGAAGGCAAGAAGTCGATTTAGTCATACCGCTTTATGTGTTATCCCTACAGTAAGAAGCCGCTTAGATTCATTTTGAAAGTACGGGTCCCAATGAAAATTGGTCTCTAAGTTTTTTTTTTGCTAAAGTGAATCTGTGGCCTCTCAAAAAGGAAAGTTTTTCGACCCGTCGAACGCCACTCTTCAGGTTGACTATGACCCCTTTGTAAAGTGGCAAAATCCTCGTCATAAAAATGTTGTAGAGCTCTTTTAGCATCCTCACATATTAAGTGGAAACACCCCGGTTGCCCAAGGCTTCAATTATAGTTTTTGCATCGACTGTGTCGAGAGTCTCCTTTAAATGTCTAAACGTGCAGACTTCACGTACTCTCTCGATCGTTCGAGGTTTTGTGACTGTGTATGTGATCCAGTGTACTGTATGCTATTTAAAGCCGGCTTACTCACATGGCTGGCCTTCACTCAGTACTCGATCAATCCTGTTAGGGATGACTCACGTGAAAAGTTCATAGATTACAGATAAGAGACAGATTGGGTGATAGTCTCACACAGAAACACGGTCTTGCTAGTTTGGGCACATTGCATTGCAACAGTTATCGCGTGAAGAGCCCAGCCACATTCCAGACGGGAAGTGATGAAAGGCTTTTCAAATGTTTGCTTTAGTGCTACTAGCAAATCATCGTACAATTTTTCACATACGTGATGACATGTCGAATTTTAGAAGGGGGAACTGAAGGAGCAACATATCGTTTTATGATGTAAGTAGGCATGTGTCCATTACTGTTGCAGAGATCTGAGCAGGAGTCGTAAATGACTTTCTCCATTACCCTTCTAGGCGCAGTTAACGTTCTGTTATAATTGAAACTAGCCTTCACTTAGTACTCGACCAATCCTGTTAGGGATGACTCATGTGAAAACGAAAGATAGCCACCTTCATTTTGTAAGTGGCGAAGGTCCGGCGGGCTTTGCGAATATTCGACGGCTGCACAGCTTCACAAGCTCGCAAATTAGTCGATGATCGCTTGCAGCTCGCGCGATTCCGCGCTGATGTATCAGCTCAAGAATCTTCAAAGAAAGACGTTCCTTGGCTACTCGTAGTCTCTCTGATTTCCGAGTAGTATCGTGGAGATGTTTGACGAGCCGGTAGAATCTTCGTTGATGTCGTCAGTAACGTGTTCTTCTCACAGACTCGCAGTGGTCCCAGTTGACGGAAACCTTGAAGCTTCGTTTACTCAGCTCCACAGCTCTCTCTCTCCACAATTGAGAAACAGAACCTAGCGCGGAGGAGACGATGGTCTGACCCTATATAGAACTTCGGAGCAACAGCGACGTCAGTCAGGCTAAACTTCCGATTGAAAATGTGATCCATTTCATTATGGAGCTACCCACAAGGTTACTCTCATGTCCATCGCAAAGAGTGGGCTGCGAGTTACCATGGATAGTGTAAGTCTACATTATGAAATCGTACAATCATTTTGCTCAATGCATTCCTTTCCGTGAGTTGCTATATGTAGCTCTTAAGCCGTTATTCTAAGACCAATTTGGCGTTGAGATCACCGACGGACCTTGGAAAATGAGTGGTCGTCTCTGGAAACCATTTCCTCGTGTTTAGCCTCATATTCCCAAACGCGAACATTCAATTCGTCAAGTTTCATGCAGTTTCGAACACGTAAGAGAGGAAAGTCTGGGTGGGGCGACTCCATTGGTTTGAAATAAATTTTTTGAAAGACGTATGCTGAGCTGAATGGAAGTATGTATGTAGTGGGTTCGAAGAAAGAGAAACTGCAAAGGTGGTGTTACAAAAGTTGCGTAAAAATGAAAATCAAGTCAAGAGTCCTGAGAGGAAAAGTACTTGCTGTCTGCTGTCGTCAGATTTAAGTCAACTATGTCAGAATAGTCAAATTCTTACCACTTTCGATAACAGCGTTGGAAATGTCTCTCTTGGATCTCTCCACTTCCATTGCAGAGTGGAAATCCCTCGAAGATGTGTCTCTTGGAACAGTCGTTTGCCATGCCACTTGGGAATTAGCAAATGGATCATGAGGAATTCTGAAAAGGTCATTTTATTTCAACGGCTAACATATCCTTTTGTATCTTTTATCAAAACTGATAGAAAGGAGCGCGGGCATGTACCCAAAAGACATCTGTGGGGAGACGATGAAAAATCATAGTAAATTCAAGATACTATCAGGCTTTCTGAGCAGCAGCCAGATATCCAAAAAGTTTTTCATCAGGTACAGCACGTCTCTAGACAGGGCCTTTCGTACATCCACCCTCGATCGACAGAGATATTTTAAAATAGGCTCGGCTGCAATGTCTCAGCCATGTTTGCACTCCCTCTAACCAACCCAACATCCTTGCCGCCGTCTACTCCTCCTTCTCTCCAAATTTTTCTTCTCAAATATACACACATGGCGATTGAATTTGCCATAAGATTTGGCATGTAATCACAGCTTCTTTGAACTTGAAAATAGGAATAATAAAAAAAATCGAATAAACTGACACTTTAGCGTCTCGCTCTCGAATGATCTTTCGGAGGACTTTCAGAGTGTCTGCCCGACCTTGAACGAGGAAGTCGTTCAGAGAATGGACGAATGCTATCCAGGTTGTCAACAGAACGAATATGCGGGCCATCTGCAAAAATATTCTTCAACACTTTTTAGCTTAGAGATTTTGTCTGATGGAGCGATTCGCGAGAGAGAATTACCTTGGCAAACTTGAAACGGTGCTTACGGATGAATCGACTATTTGAAAGGGCTCGATGTGCATTGAACCACCTACTACATAGAAACATCAAAACTTTGATTTCCTCTATGCTTTTCCATATCGTGAAGATGCGTAGCCTTCAGGGAGGAGACAAGCGCTCCATTATTGCAAGTAGCATTATACCATTATACGATGCCGAGTACAGTATATACAATATTTTGTGAATCAAATTGCAAATATCAGAAAGAGAGGGAGAGCAGTTGACCTTCAAACATGAAAGAGTTCCATGGTTAATATTGAATTTTTAGGGAACAACCCATACTTACACAATTTGTTGCACCTTTTATTCTCAACTCTTGAATTAGTATCCGCTGAATCCAATAACCTTCAAACCCATGCTCAGAATCAGCAAATTCATCGAGTGAGATGTGTTTCACTTGCAATCAACGATTTTTTGTGGTTTCGAAGAAACTACAGAAATACGGTGAGTTATGAATCCTCCGCTGAATGTGCATGCCCTGGGGGTCTCGGACTTCAGAGGGACAGTCGAGGTGTTTGATTGGATAGACACAAACAGTTAATCCTTTTAAAACTTTAAAGAAGGTGATCGGATAGTCACAAACAGTTACTTTTAGTCTTTGAAGAAGGTGATTCGTGAAAAGTTCCTGAAAACAAGTCAGTAGTGCACATGATTCAGCGATTGGTTATGATTGAGCAATGATCCTGTATATGAAAACTCTAGGGAATCGGGGGGTAGAAATTTCTTCGGAAGTCTTCACAATGACTCTAAGGTATCTACATACAAATGTAGTAACTCTGTTCAGTCTTTCTTTAATTTCTTTTATTTACTCTCGCACTAATTGCAGGCAAAATAATTGAAAAATTAGGTCAAACAAAATGTCAAAAACCCTGACACTACACTGAAAAATAGATGTGTGAAGAGTCGCATTAAAGGATTCGGTGAGAAATGAGAGGAAAAAAGGATGACGAAGAGAGGTCAAACCTAATTCACTCCTATGCACCTCGGACAATTCACGAAAAAGTCTGAACGAAAAAGAACTTCGGAGCGGGGTGTCCTCGTAGAAAAAACATAGTAAGGAAAACATACCATTCTACTTTCTTTCGAGGTTCGAGGTTGAAAAGAGCTTCTCGTTAACCTTTCGTCCAGTTGAAGCCTCTCTAGAAAATCAGAGACGAGAACTGATTGCGGAAGGCGGGGGCAACATGGTAGGGCAGTTGAGTGGAGCAAAATTGACGTGGTCGGTGTCAGCTAATGAAACAGCTAGTAACCGGTTCTCATTGGTAACCAGTAAGCTTACTCGGAAACGTCATTTGTCTCGTTACAGGCTGAAATAAACAAGGGCTGCCTGGGTCTGCTAATGCCCCCACGCATACAACGGAAACGAGTTGAATTCCTCGGTCAGTTGCAATGAATTTAAGACTCTTACTCAGATTCTATGGATAACAGTACGAACTATATAACTGAGAAGAATAGCCTCGGCCCGGATTCTACCAGGGGCCCCATGTGTACTGTTTAGGTGGGCAAACTTGTAAATTTATTAATAATACCGCAACGTTTTTCAAAAAAAAAGAAAATTCCTTCTGAAGTCTGACCTATTATTCGCTTTCTTTGCAAGCTCCCTTACCCTATACCTTAGCATTTGAACATGACACTACCCATTTGAGGTATGCCGCTAAAAACCTGCCTTATTAGTTAATAAGTAACAGAATATCGGAGCCTTGTTCAAACAGACCAAACTAAGAACTCTCCCATACAAATTCCCTTTCTTTTGGTTTTGCTTGAAGGTTGTTTCCTTCTACAACTAGATTTATTGTCTACCATGAGTCATACAAGATGAACATCAGGGCTCAGGTGACTTCTAACCCTTTCGAATTAATTCCATGAAGGAACGTGGTCGATGATATGGTGTAGACGACTTGTTAAGTTGCATAAAGGCGCAGGTCACGATAATTTTGAGGTCTCTCTTTTCATTCGAAAAGCGGAAGTATGGGTTGGGTATAATTCACTGGTAGTGAAGAAAGCGAGCAAATTTGCCAATGTTGAGAAAAATGAAGCTACTAAAAAGTAGGAATTTAGAGGTTTGACGAGATTACCATGACGGAAGTGGCATGGAAGGTATCTTCGGACGAGATTTACGTTGTTGCAATTGCGCCAAGAGCTGGATAAATTATGCTAATACTGTCCAGAATCTCTTTTCGCTGT